ATGCGAACCATGTAATCCATAAACTAATTCTAGTTTACAAAGTAAGTCAGTAAATAAAATTTGCGACATCCTAAATATATTATGAAACCTAATGGGATGGCCACAAAGTAAATATTGTACCCATCTATTTCCACTTTTATTTGATATCAATCAAGGCCTTTTGTTCAAATAAAGTGAGAAGTAATCATTTTGCAGAAAACATGAGGCAACCATTATATTGCTAAATTATGTAACTGCCATTTTATCAAGATTTTGCAATCTTCCATCATTACACTCGTCACTTGACTAACTCTCATTATCGATTGACATTTTGTATATGAAAAAAAAACTATAAATAGTCTACCAAATGCGTACAATAATCAATAAAAATTAATGTAAAATTGTCTGAACATTGACAAGCATATTCCAAATAAAGTCTTAGAATTGATCTCCTACATTACTCTATTCCATGACTCGAGCTCGACTCGGCTCGTTTGCACCCCAAAAACAACTTGAGTATATCCCTTATATGAACACCTCCAAAAAAGAAAAACAACATCCAAACAAACAATAGCTTCACATAGATGAAAGAAACCACCATAAGAGAAACACCAGAAAAAAACAAACTTCTCTGAATGGAACACGAGAACTTTGTCTGCCAGTAACATCCAAGTCCAGGGAATTAAGCCAAGCAGAAGAAACATTTTGGCCACAAACAAAATAAGCAGAAAGTCATTATCTGTTACCCAATCCAACTAATTCAACACATTTTCTATTTCCATTTTTAGCAGCTATCTGATCACACTTCTAAGAACTCATTTTTGCTATGGGAATTGCCGCTTGAAGAGTATGGCTAGGAAGTTTTACAAAACAAAAAGCCCCATGGAGAGCATTTTGAACCATGAAATATGATAAAGAACGAAAATGCCTAAAGGAATATGATTTCATACACGATGATCCAAACTTTAGCAAAACCATGCAAAGCTATGGAATCTCAAAAAAGTTCACAAAATATGAAAAAAAAAAAAGGAAATAATATTCACACCAAACAGCATTAAAGCAAAAGATAAACCATCCATATTTGAAACTCCATATCCCAAACTTAATGAACAGTAAAATTGTTGCAATCCATGCAGAAAGTTGAGTAAAACTAATCCTGAAAGAGTATGGTCATAACAGTATAAATTTATTTCTAATTAATCGCTCTATAGTCGTACTCAATGTTTATGGATAGATAATTTAATAATGAAGTCGCCTTATGCATTTTTAAAATTGACGATCATCATTTATCCCGCATCATAATCTTTCAAATGTAGTAAATGTAACTAAATGCAGTAATAATAGCTTTTAAAGCAATTTTGTGGTTAGATGACGATTATTTGCTTGACAGAGAGGATGAAAATAGTCAAATTGAATCTCTAATTTGCACAAAATGTAGTATTCGAACACAAATCCAAATTAGTCAAAAGCCTTTAAAGAACTCAGAATTTACAGTAACAACTTTTTCTTCACCAAGCTAACCTTTAATAAACATATATTCACTGGTTGTGAATAAACACACCTATTGTCCATACAAAAAAACAAATACACACAATTCTTTAAACAATCTAAAAAAAGTAGTAAATAAACTTAATTTTTTTACAAAATTTATCAACAAATTGTGATCTACAATAATGATGTGAAACTCATGTGGTATCGTCTTTTGAAAAACCAAAATTTTCTATCAGTTGGAAGTCCCATGAAAGCCTCCCTTTGATTCCAATCTAGTATATATAGAATAGAAAAGTCATAAAACTCTGGATCGTCAAATATCTCAGGTATTTTAGAAATTTCTTCCAATGCATTTGCAATTATCAGACATTTCCTTGAAGCAGTTGATGATGATAGCGCAGAACTAATATATTTAGCGGCTCTTACGAGCTCCTCAATATGATCAATGAATATTTATCTTCCATTTGGTTTGGTTGTTCTAATTCTTTTTCTCTTATGTGTAATTGGTTGAGTAATATGTGATCTTTATGAATCACCTATAATTGGATCATCAAGGCTATTCATATGTAACATATTTCCATTATCATCATCGTGTTCTTCTTCAGAAGATGCAATGTCATCTACATCTCTTAGTTCAGGAGGCAATACACCAGAGTTTGGAGCCCATACATTAGAACCAGTGGCAACAACGCGACCAAACATGATATCTAATTTTTTCTCAAGCTCAGGCATGATTCCATTACAACAAAACTTCTTTGCTAAAGGAAAAACCTAAAATATAGGAAGACAAGTTGATTGGTAAGTGTATTATGTTTTATGGAATTATGTAACTTAACATATATATATATATATATATATATACCTGTAATTTTTCGCTCCACCATTCGTTTGAAGAATCAATTGTTTTCTTCAAAGGGTTCCATCCTATTCCAGTTTCATCGTGCATTAAATCTTTCCAAAGCTTCCACTCCTTCTTGAGCTGATCCCGTTTGTTTTTTAATTTAGCATGATCATAGGTTCGACCTGTGCTCTCATTAAATTTTTTTGTTAAGTTTCGCCATCCTTCCTTATTAAAATGAGTAGTTGGTCTATTTCTCAATTCTATCTCCTTAATGCAAATGTCACAGTAGATTATGTGGTTTCCATCTCCCATGTTGCTGGAGCACCTACTTCTTTTTGCTTTCCCTTTTTTTTTGTTAGGCAACCTATATATTAGTAAGTTAGCAAAGTGTGTTAAAATAAACATACAAATATTTGTAACATGGTGTGCATGCATCTAGCCTTATATCCCAAAATTGTTACACATATACTGATTACAATACTATAATGAGATAAAAACATATTGTAATAAAATATAATAAGGAAAGTGAAAGTCCTAATTGAGGAACTCCCCATATGTAATAAGAAGAAAATTATGAGAAAGAAGTCTGCTCTAATTACAAATTTTAGATATAGTTATCCTAACAAGAAGACCAAAATAACAATTGAAGTTTAGGCCATCCAACAAGGTAATGGTTTATCCTAACAGATATACTAACAATTACAAGCCAAGCTATACTTAGAACAACTACCAATTTGCAAACATATTATCTTACAAAAATAAAACATATTTAAATCATCATCACAAAAAACTTTAAGATACATAGTGATAAGACCCATGATCCATCAGATTTGTATAGTGTTTTTTTAGTCATACCACACCACAATTTCACCATCTAGAATTTCACAATTTAAGTGTCTAGAGTTTAATTTGGATTAGTGTTGTACTAAACCTACTCGAGTAATGAGCAGTTTTTTTTTTTTTTTTGTAGGATTAAGCTATCTACTTCAGTAAAACACATTTTTTTATGGATTAATGGGCAAAACAGTGACACATAAACCTAACAAATTCTTCAACAGCCCTGTCTACAATTGTTCCTGATCTATGCCAAGCGACCATGCGGTATTTTCATCTCCTTCCGCTCGTTCGTATCTCCATAAACTGACCATTGTCCAGCTCATTGTCATCATCTTCATCGTTAGAAATGGACGAGGGCTTCATGAAGATCCTCCTAGATATCATCTTCTTGAAGCGCCAGAGCTGGCTTACCACTTTCTCCAGCTCTTTCATCTCCTACCGCCTCCAGCAGTGCGACATCGAGCTCCTTCTCCTCCATATTTCTGATCAACCTCGCCTTGCCCTCCACTTCTTTAATTTTTTTGGTTTCCATCTCTGCTTTCCCCATTCCACCCTCAGTTTCTTCATTCTCTTCCACTCCCTCCTTTGCTCTGGACTGCATTGGCTTGCCTCCTCCCTCCTCCAATCTCTTGTCTCCCGTCCTACCTCCCAGAGGCGGTGGCAGGATACCTTTCAATTTTTACATATATAGTTAAATTTTATTGTATAAATAATAATAAAATCTATAGGTAGAAAAAATGGAAGAACAAGATTGGAGGTAAGGTTGTATTTGTTGTAATAGGAGAGGTCGTACTTATGGATGAGGAATGTTGCCAGAAATGGAAGAATGCGAATTGGATTGGAGTTGTATTTGAAGGAGAAAGTGGGTCGAGAAAGGCAGAAAATGAGGAAATCAGGAAGGAGAAGGCGCTGTAGAGGAATCTCCAACAAATTTCTGAGGTGATTTTGGCCCCTTGAATGGGATTCGATTCCTCTTTGAAGCCTTGTCACGGTGAATGGGATGCTCGTAGAAGAGGATATGTGAGTTCGTGCGTGTCGTGGGAGGGTAAAATAGATAAAACAAGGGCAGTTCGTGGAACATCTCTGAAAATGGCGCTCACTTTTTACTTTTGTGTTTCTAGGTAAAATGCCGGTATTGAGATCGTAATAAGAAAAAGTGATTTTTTCAAACAAAAAAAAATTCTGCTTTGACGTTGGCAGACAGAAAAAGCACAAAAAAATGGGCAAACAAATGCGCCCTAAGTTTATGGTGTCATTATTAGGGAAGTATTTTGTTTTTAAAATTTTAACTAAATTATTGAATTAATTATATAATTAAACCTACTTATATTTTTTTTTTATTTGCTGATTGTATATTTTTGATTGCATGCTTTATAAACATAGAAATGAACCTTTGTTGTTTGATGCTAAAATAGAAAGAACCATTTAAAAAATTCAAAAAACAAAAAAATTATAAAAATGGTAGAATCTTTATTAAATCAAAATCATTTTAGACCTCTTAGGGATTATGCTAACACTTTAGTAGATGGAATTCATCGAGCATTAATAGACCTATGATCCAATCTAATAATTTAGAATTAATACATGCCATAATTCAAATGGTTCAAAATTCTTAGTTTATGAGAACTCCTATTGAAGTATTAAATTTCACTTAGATAGATTCTTAGAAATTTGTGCAATATATAAGTATAATGATGTTAGTGATGATACTATTCAACTTAGATTGTTCCCATATTCTCTAAGAGATAAAGCTAAAATGTGATTGAATTTTTTATCCTCAAGCTCTATATTCACTTGAAATGATTTGGCTCATAAGTTTAATGCTAAGCATTTTCCACCTTCAAAGACTATTAAACTTAGAATTGATATCACTTCTTTTACTCATTGTGAAGGATAATCTATTTATGAGAGTTAAGAGAGATTTAAGGAAATACTTAAGAAATGTCCTCATCATGCTTTACCTTATTAGTTGGTTATTCAAACATTTTATAATGGATTGATTAGTAGGATCTCATAGAGTAATTATAGCTGCTATAGCTGGAGGATTGTGAATGTCTAAGCTATTTAAAGAAGCGTATGAATTAATAGAGAAAATGGATAGTAATATTTTTTAGTATCCTGCTAATAAGGTAAATCCTAAGAGAGTCACAATAGTATATAAATCAGATGCCTTAGAAATTTTGACAGCATAAGTTGTAGAAATTTTTAAGAAGTTAAGCATAAAAGGAGAAAATATAGAATTTGGAATGGAATTATCTATTCAATTAGAGGATCAAAAGTTAGTTGAGAATAAAAATGTGCAAGGGATTGAAAAAAAAATTAATTGAAAGATAAATTAATTTCTACTCCAATACATATAATCCATACTAGAAGAACCATCCTAATTTTAATTTGTTAATTAATATTACTATTAATAATATATAGAATTCTAATTAGAATTTTTAAGGAGTGAATTAAAATAATCCTCAGTAATCTGTTATTAATCCTAAACATGCATATCCTTCAGTATTTAACCAAAGTAATCACTTTGGAAGTAGAGAATCAACATTTAAAGATGTAGTGATATAGTTAAGGACTCAATTATAAAAATAAGCTACTTCAATTAAAAATTTAAAAATCCAATTAAGTAAGCTTACATTTTCAATCAGTAGTAGATCTCTTTTATCATTGAAAAGCAATACTAAAGCTAACCCAAAGGAAAAAGAAAAATATCCAAGTAAAAATCATTTGAAGAATGGTAGCAATGTACCCAAACAAAATTGATAAATCTACGCAAGTATGGGTGAAGACTATAAACTTAGCACCGTATGGGAAGCAACCTAGCTTTTGATTTTCATGTGTTTGGTAGATTAGATTTAGTAGAAGTGAGCATTAGTTAAAAAAATTTGAGAGAGTGAATGGAGTGCCACAACACTATGTATAGTGCCGACGCGCTTGGCTGTGCCACAACAGTTAAAAATTTACATTTTGGCACTTCAGCGCTTGTGAAATTTACAAAAAGGGTAAGTTAAACTTTTAAATTTCTATCCACATCAATCCTTCCTGAGTGTGGTATTTATAAGTGTCTTATTTTCCTTTATTGAATCTCAAAGTAATGGTTGGAAAGAAATAAAAACATTCATCCTAAAAAAGAAGTTAAGTATGCTTTAAAAATGAAGATTCATTCTCAATTCTAAACATCCTCAGTTCTACAATAGTTGCTAAAATTTATGAATTCAAAATGAAGTTTATGAAGATAAAAAAAAAAAAAAAAATCTATAATTCAGAGATGAAGAAGATGTATGCATGTGGAGTTCTAGATCATGAATTTTCTCTTGGTCAAGATGTCTTATTTTTTATTATAGGAAGAAATATTATCATGAAAAATATAAATCTGAATGGACTGGCCCTTTTAATATCATTATAAAATATCCTAATGGTGCCATAAAGATTTAGGATAAATAGAATGTTCATATCTTCATGGTTAATGCTCGTAGATTGAAACCATATGGATGAGAAGAATTAAGAATAAGACATATAAGAAGTTTTATTTTCTATGTATTTTAATATGTGTGTGAATGCTACTCTTATTTTATTATATATTTTTTCCTTCGGGGGAGATTTGAGAAATGTGATGGTTTATTATAGTGATGTAATGACTGGACTTTTGGCTTCGAAAGCCAATATATTATGATGGCTAAAGTGTTGCTTTATACACTAGTTATCTTATACTTTATGTTATAGTTTTATTTTATATCACATATTGTACCTTTCTATCATTCTTATGAAATATATGTATTTATTATTTTTTATGTGTGTTTTTATTTACATTTGATTAAATTCCCCTTACGCTTACTTTTTTACATTATCTTCTATTAATATAACTATATTCTTATTAATTATTTAATCCTAATAAAAAAGATAATTAAAAATTATGTAAAATTAGGATAATAATAAAATCCTAGATCATAGTTCAAATTAATGCAATTTTATAATTCATAGATTAGAAAAATTAATAGATAATTAACCTAGAACATTTAAATTATTAACTTAACTTGAATTTATAAGTCATATATTTATACATTGATCTTTAAAATGGAGATGAAGGATTAATATTAAAGAATAGATATGAGTAAATTAAAATTTAAAATCATAAGAAACCTGAATTTAGAATTAGCAATCTTTTTAAATTCTTACATTAAACTCATTAAGATTGTAAGAATATTTTAAGCAAAATTAATATTCAAAATTATTAACTATGTACTCCACAAAATAAAAAGGAAAACAAAAGTGAAAGAATCTTAAAAAGAATAGGAAAAAAGAAAAAAAGTTAGTACATTCAAAAATAGGCATAAGATGAAAGCTTAGAGTCTAACTATAATCTTATACATAAATTCACGAAGGATAAGATCAGAGAACTAGTACAAATGCTAGTGAACTTATGAAAATTTCAATTTAACTACAAATGCTTCTAATCTTTAAGCTACATTACTCAATTCAGAAATTAAAAGCAAATTTAAATTGTGTAATAATAAGGATGACTGGTTAAGATAATTGTTAGTATTTTCAAACTAAATTAATAACTTTATTTATTTCTACTACTTTTAGATAGTGATATACTATCTTATATTTTAATAATTTATTACTAATTTTTATTTTTGTTAGTTGATTAATCAGAATTGTAGATTTCTTTATTTACTTGAGAAAAGAAAGATTTTAAATTGGAGATAATTTAATAGTGTAAACTATATATTATTTTATATGCATTCTTTTTAGTGAAAATGTGTTGGTTTTAATTATTTTTATACAAAAAAAACTAAAAAAATGATAGTAAATTTTAAGTAGTCTTCAGCGCCGTGGTGTCCAATGAAACAACGCTGTAATGTCACATTCAATATCGCCGAGGCATCACAAATTAGGCATTTTAGCACCATGTTCTCTATTTGTAAGCACCATAGTGGAAACATATACAACGCCGCAACTTTAAAAAATTAGCTTGGTAGAACCATATTCTGTATTTTTAAATACCACTGCACCACAATTTCTCACGCCTCTGTGCCATTTTTCCTACTTTAGCTCCACAGTGCTCGAAAGTCAAAAACACCGTGGCATTAGAGTTGTAACTTCTAAGGGCCACGTTGTCTTAGTGAAAATATGTGACTATTCTAAATAAATAATCTACGTCAATGAGTATCGTGGAGGTGAAAAAGCTTTAGCACTAACACGCTAGTTCACTTCAAGAGCACCGTGGTGTGATTATTTCTAGCACCACCATGCCAGATGCCTCTTTTATTATTTTTATAAATAGTTTTGATGTTATATTTTAATGGAAGTTAAGTCACTTGTATAAAATTCAATATTTTTAGAGTACTTATCTAGTTTTCTCTTAGAGTAAAATTTAAGGGAGGCTAGAGAAGTACAAGATACAATCATTTAGAGTATTTAGCCTGTGTTTCTTAAAGAAACATTGTATGTTAAATGAGCACGAGTGTAGAGGAGATACATTGATCCTTCCTTGTGATTCTTTTGTATTTTTATTTTTTCGTGGGTTAAATGAAATTGAGTTTGCTTGTTAATCATTATATGTTTGGTTGATTCTCTTGATTAGAATGAAGATGTAAAGTGCATGTTGAATACTAATAAAGACTCTTATTTTATAATTGTTAAAAGATGTTTTTAATATTACCTCACCCTTTATTAATGCGCATAAGAGCCATATATTTAGTTAAAATATAGTGTGATGCATAGCCACGATGGAGGAATGTAAGAATAACTAGGAATATTACAATATGATGTTTGAATGCCTAGACATAAGATGTAAAATGTTTTAAATTCTTAACGAGATACGAGGAGGTCAACATATATCCTTTTGACGCCACAAGCTCAAAAGAGATCTAGGGATGCATATGCTCTGAATCACTTCTATAATTAAGTGTTTCATTAGGAAAGATGTGTAATTTATACTCATCAATCAAAAATACCTTAAAGAAAAACAAGGATAAATATTCAGTGATAGAATCTCCATAATTATCATTTTTATTTAATGGGATAATTATTGCAATTAGAGCAAATATTAGTAGTTTATTAAAATTAGGAACACTTTCTCGTAGATTTGACACTTTACTCTATCATTTTATTGCCATATTTGGTGGGTATAAATGCATATGTTAAGTGAGATTTTATTATTTTTAAATCAAAAAAAAATCTAAGCATTGTTTAAGGGTGATAGAGCACAAAATTTTTATACAATTTAAAAGTTCACTCCATAACTGCCACCAATGGTGAATTATTCCTCCTAATGAAAAGTAAGACGGATGGCTTCATGATTGCATCTAATGATGGTAATGATTACATGGAGTACTCTCATTCACTACAGGAAAATCATGGATTATCGTCGGAGCTTATGGCAAAAATATATATGCCAGAACTTACAGTGTTTTTATTGATGTTTTATGCGGTGGTAAAATTATGACAGACTTACTGGCGTATATTATGTTGGCATGTCTCCAATGCATTTTCCGTTGTTAAAGGCATCATAATTTATAAACCCCTAAAATAATGTGGCATATTTTTTGCTGGTAATTTCTAACATTCAAACTGATGGAGATTACATCAGTGAATTTAAACACAACGAATAGTTACCGTCAAAAAATATGCCGAAAAAATCACAAGAGGCTTATCCATCGGAAAGAACTTCGGTCGGAACCCTATTACTCTCCCAAGCCCATCTGACTTATTATTTCATTCCTCACCATTCATTTGCTCAACTCGCCTCCATTGCCCCAGCCGAACCTCGCCACTGTCGAGACTGACCCGAACTTCTGTCGAGCTCTCTGACACGCACCGCCTCAGTTGCCGATGAAGCACCGCTATTTTTAGGATAATCCACCGTAAGTTTTTTTTTCATTGATTTTTATCACTAAGCATTTGCAAGATGATGTACCTTTGTGTATGCTTTTTGCTGATGATATTATTCACCA